TTACAGACAAGAGCTCGCTATCGGTCTTCTTCGCCCACCCAATATTCCACTAATTCCTTCTTTGGCGAAAGATGTTCATGGTAGATAATTGGCCAAGTTACCGGCCAATTAATTCATCCGAGCATAGGCGAAGGTCCCAAAACACAACAAATTGGCAACAGCACAGGCTTGTGTGTTCGCGTACTCGGCCTGTTAGTGAATCGCCCACCAGCATGCAACTACCTGCCGTGTTAACATGTAAATGTCCACTGATGGACACTGAAAAAAAAGCATATTGCAACTCCGTCTCACATGAAGCTGCCCCTCCCCGAGGCTGTCAAATTGGGGACACCGAATTGACTGGCAGAGGCAGGCCGGAGTTTACGGAATTCCTCTTTGGCATGTATTGTCCACCTTCGGCCTCCAGGGCATCAGGCCGATTGTGAATAGCGGCCTCCCACATGTGTTGGTCGTCAAACCGACATCGGATTCAAACGCGTTGCCCAAGTTCCTTTGACGGGCCGTCTGAGGTGTCATCAATCGCATCAGCAAAAGGCTGGGCTCGGCGAATGGGAACATCTGGTGCATTTCGCAAATTCGCCCCAAACCCACTTTCTTGAGTCAGAGTATCACCTTGTTGCCTTGCCCTCCAACTACGCTCGACTTCGTGTCTCGGGCCAAAATCCGGCTCTCTCGTCGCCTCCTCTTCAAACTCTTTTCCCTCGACGTTTACTTTATTAAATTGGGCTCACTTTTCCATTTCGTCTTCTTCCTCTCGCAACGATGCCTTAGTTTCCAGCTTCCATTGTCTTCCTGTCACCTATCAATCCCAAACCGTCCACCAAGTAGCAACATTGGAGGCCTGACATGTACAGTCAAAAGAGCCCATATCTACAAACACTCCTAAAATGATGCATCTGTTCATGAAAAATAGTTCAAAATTTTTAACTTTTTTAAGGACCTGTTAGAAATCTGAATCAAGCCGAACAACGAGGCCTCAAAAGAGAAGCGTTAGGCAGGACTCATGACACCTGTCCAATAACGGTCGCGATTCGAGCGAAGCAGTTGAGCTTAGATTGTATCAAAAATGATTTCATCCGCTTGACCCTAGTTTATGCATTAGGTCCTAGCTTTTCTGGCTACTTTCCGGGCACGACCCGGTTTCACACGACTGCCTTGATGATTAGACCTTTTGGGAGGCAAGACAAAATGGTATTTTCAGGTGACACATTTCATTGTGGAACAGTAAAGCTATCAGTCCTAAATCATCACGTACGATCTGATATGACTAAAGTTTCAATCCAAGATATAAAAATAGTCTTGACGCATACTTACAAAGATGTTAATGACATCGTCGATCTTATTATTAATACGAGTCTGTCTAATCCATAATCCTATAACGAGCGTCGAGTGGAAAAGTACCGAATTATCTATTAGGTACCATGTTTCCGTGACTGAATCAAATTCGTTGTTCAGTGACAGAGTAATGACTTGTTGCCAGTTGACGCAGACGACCTGGCTTTGAATCCTGTTTAGGGTGCTGATTAAACCGAAGTTCATTGGATACTTCAGTCTGGGATAAGGAAATGTGAAATTCAGTGAGATTATGAGGACTACCCGTTTTGTCGTGGGAATATTCAATGATCACTGCCAAATCCCTTGTGTTCTTGTTCAATATCTGCTGATAGGCTAGCAAATTACACGATAGGTGTTTGCATTTAATCGTTTTCCGTAGGTTGCAAAGCCCAAACAAATAAGACGCTTAAGATACGCCACTCCACATGAGTCCCACATATGACAGACAAAAGTTGAAAACACGCTTTTTGACCCAATATTAACTAGAAGCAAGAATAAAAGTTATTTTCACCCCAGGTCGCATAAAGTAATAAAGGACTGACAGGGAAGTTCCTTAAACACCAACACTAACTTGTAGCATTCGCAAGAATGAACTTCTGCTCTGATGATGTCCTCGTAAGTGAGTAGGGTTTCGAAACCATACTCACTTACGAATATAAGTAACGTTGTCGATTGCTATAGCAAACATACATTTGCTTCATCGGCACTCCCACCA